TGCAGAGGGGCATCCTGGCAGCGGCTGTCTGCAGGACTGGGGGCACTTCTTGCATGCTCCAGGTTTACATTTTCGTCCACATAGGTGAATGATGTCTCCAGTTCTTGGGCACAGCAGCAGGCTTTCTTCTTCCCTCCGTCCTCTTCCCCGGGCAAGCGCTCGGGCGGGTGGCAGGGCTGGGAGGTGCCAGGCGGTGCAGGGTGGTCCCGGGGCGAGGCAGCTGGGGGGTAGGGCTGGGGTGCCAGGGGGGGCTCAGCCACAGGGCCCCTCTGCAAGGGCTTGCAGTGCTTTTCGCAGCGCAGGGCTGCCACGGCAGAGGCTGCTCTGGGGTCCACCTCACCCCCCTCCTGCTGCTGCTGCTCGCAGGGAGGGGGGGGCAGGCTCCAGGCGGCAGCGGTGCCCAGGGGCACCTGCCTGCTCTCCTCGGACAGGTAGAGAAGCTCCATGCAAGCCATCGACCTGGTCCTGGCAAGCCCCGACTCCTGGGCTACCGCATCCTTCAGCAGACGCTGCCCCTGACCCGCTGAAACGGCTTCGCGGGACCCGAGCTGCTGTATCCCAGAAATCTTCTACTCTTTCACCAACGTTTTGTTAGGGACATGGCTTGTGTCGGCTATTAAATGATTAAACAAATCCTCTCTGACATTCATTTCTTTTCGGTCTGCAAATGAAACAGCAGAGGGGAAAACAACAACAACAACAACAAAACCAAACCCGACAACCTTGTGATGATACATTAATAAACCAAAGAGAAGATAACGCAAACGCAATACATCAGTCTTCCTCTCAACTGTTCGAGGGGAGATGGCAAACACGATTGTTTTAACCACGCATTTAAAACTGCAATCCTCTTGCAGATCCAAAATCTACTAGGGAGTCTAATCAACCTTTGACACCAATATCCAATTAAGGCGGTAAGTCATCTACAGAGCACAGGATAACCACAATAACGGTGTAAAATGTCAGGGAAACGAGATGTTTCTTCTTTTAGAAGCAAGTAACTTCCCCACCCCCCTCCAAATAAATAATTCTTAACTCAGATTCACAGGCTAATTAGAAAGAAATACGCAAATCCCATGTAGCTCAATAATCCAGGATCTGTATTCTCTGGTGGAAATCTGATAATCCTATGGGAAAAGCAGTGCTTTCCTATAGCTGATCTCCCGTTCGATTAAGAGCTCTCGGAATGAAATTATGCCTCAAAGACTGATGACTCAAAGACGGAGATTACTTCTCATCTGCAATTAATTCGTTATTACCCTCTTCTTCTGCGCCCCACCCCCCTCGAGGCCGAATGCCCAGTGTCATCAGGAAAAGCCTGCAGCCCCCTCAATGTGTTGCATGCGTAGAAAACACATGTGCGCCTACAGCACACCCGTGATCGGTACCAGACGCCGCTCACTCACGCTGTTCTCGGGACCTCAGCGGGAACCGGCCGCGCTAGGAAACGCCATCCCCGCCGGCGCGGGC